GCGACAGGCTCTCTCTCACCGAGAGAAACACCGGAGACTTTACACAACGCGATCGTCCAGGGGAGGAGAATGGGGGAGGGGAGAGGGAGAGTCCGAATGCGGCCGATGGGTTCGTCGGTAATGCCCGCCTTCGCGACGCGTCGAGGGGAAACCGGAGTGGGCCGTACCAAGCGTTGATTGGACGCGCGTAAGGAGTGGGGCTCGGGACATCGGTGGCGCCTTACGGGTTCGACCAATCGGCAGTTCTCGCCGGGAGTTTTTTATCCCGTTATTTACGCCGAGGACGGGAGAAGACGGTTCCCCATATACCCCCGCCCTACCCGCGGACCGTGGCATCTCGCTCGCACCAGAGCGGTGGGCACTCTCCGTCCTGTTCGCGCGCGCTCTCCCTGTGCGCCCGTCCGCGCAGGAGAGGACACTCTCGTTTCGGGATCCGTTGAGGCAACACGCGTTTCTCTCGTCACAGGACAGGATAGGAAAAAAAGGTGTCGGGCATCGAGTGCTCGGTGCGCGTGTGTTCCACACTTGACGCTCTCGTGTTTTTCGGAAATTAGTGAAACAGCGTGCTCGCTTTCGCTCGTTTTCGAACGTCAGTGTTCAAACCGCCCGCAGGGATACACAGCGCCTTACTACGAACCGCCGTGCGCAGTGGTGTGTATGCATGTGTGTATGTGTGTGTGTGTGTGTGTGTGCGTTTGCGCGCGCGCGTGCGTGTCGAATACAGTGGAACGTATACATGTGTATGTGACAGAACGTCGCAGGAGGATGCGGTGTTGCCGGATGTCGTAAGCGCGAATACGCGTACGTAGTGTATTGTACGGTGCGGCGCGAGGCCGCCGGAAAGAGGAACAGAGACACGCGAAGTTTCGACTCGAAAGGAAGAGAGAGCGTGTGGCGGCGGCGTCGTCGTTGTCGTTGTCGTCGATCGATCGATTTCGACTCGTTCGCCGAAGGTGGAGAATCGCGAACTGTTGGCGTTACTGCCGTACAAACGGTGGCGTCGTCACGTCGCGTACGAACTCTCGCGATCATCGTCGTTGCGGTGGTACGCCACAGTGACATTTGCGGTGCGGCGCTATCGATGAAATAGACTTGGCAACGTCGCACCGACTGCCCTCGCACACAAACGCGCGCGCATACACGTACCTAGAAGGGAACTTGGGGTGGCTGGCTGGTTGGCTGGCTCGCTGGCTGGCAGGCAAGCAGGCAGGCAGGCAGGCAGGCTAGCAAACAGGGCAGGCAGGCCAAAGGCTTTCTTGTTCCGAGGACGGTGCTCTTGGTCGCGCCGTCTCTCTTTTCTTCCTCCATTACGCTTACTCTTCCTCATCCCCGACCCCTTGCCTCTTCTCGTCCTCGATCAACTCAATCGTGCTCTCGTTCTCTCCCTCCTCGGGTTTCTCTCTCGCGCGCGCGCGCGCGCGCTCATGCCGCACGTACCGTTGAGAACCTCTCCCTTCCCCTGTCGTACTCTTTCTCTGCCTCTCTATCCCCTCTCCTCTCCTTACCTCGAACGGATCGGGCGAGTCCACTAGGCTTGCGAGGGGTGTTCGGCAGACCTCGTCTCTAGTCGGCCTCGATCCGTAGAGTGCGTCAGACGCCGCGAGTCGATCGCTCCGGTACACGGATATTCGCGAACCGTAGCATACGTGGGTACGTCGTGGGGCCCGCGAATGTCATTGCGCGTTACCTGCGCATAACCGCGACCCGCGGCAACTCGTATTGCGGCCAGTTTACGCGTTCAGCCTAGGACGCACTCGACCAGCGTATATCCGTACGACGGCCATGTTTGGTGTTTACGACGTGAGGGGGAGTCGCTGACGTCACGTACAAGCGAGTAGTCCGATCTTACCCGAACGGCACGGCGATTACGGACGACGGGTGGCAGCAGCGACAAGCAAACGACGACGACAACGACGACGAGGAGGAAAAACGTGCGTCGCTCCACGCCGGTAGCTCATCGCTGCGGCTGCGCGCTCGCGCTCGCGCTCGATCACAACCAGCGGAACTCACCGTCGTTCGTCGAATAACAAGATCGACGATCGCGGAGAAATAGTCCGCGTATCCTGCGGGTATACGTACATACTCGTACGTTCGCACGGACCAAGCTGAAAATCGCACATCGGGGCTCGCTGCTTGCCTCCTTTTTTCCGATGGGACGCGCGAATTCGTCGATCTCGCTCGCCGTGATCGCCGCTCCTACTGGCTTTTCGAAAAACATCGCGCGCTCCGTCTCGTGCCCTGTTTCCTCCGTCACATCGCTGAAATAGCACTCGTCTGTAAAACGACTTGGCGACCGATCGCTTCGCGGAAAAAGGGAAGATTCGCAGGAATCGGGCGATGCCAAGCTACGTCACGTCGCCCGTACAGATACGGATGACGACGACGGCGACGCGTCGCGACTGACAACGCATGTCCGACAATGCGCGACGCGGAGTCGCGAACGAACTGATACTCCGATCATCGCAAAGACGTCTCCGTTCATAGACACGATCGCGCCACGTGGTAATCGCGCACGTGTCTCTCAACTGCTGCACGCAGCGCATGCCGGTGCCCGCGGTTCGCGCTTCGAAGGTACGATCGATCGGAGTGGACGATCATCGTCGTCTCGCACGACGCGACGCGACTCGACGTGACGCACGTGCATACAGTGATCGCTCTCAATTGACACGCACCCGCGCGCGCGTGCGTTGTATGTGTGTGTGTGGGTGTGGGTGTATATATACATGCGCACGTGTCTGTGATCGATCCGCCTGCCGTCGCGCCGGTGTGTGTTGCGCACCGGTTTACATATGGTGTTTCGCAGGATACCGCACGTGATACGCAACTATAAACCAATCGAGGATTATCCAGAACGTCAGGATTAAAGACCGCTCCGTCATCGTGTCGAGCCATGGAGCTGGGTGACAGGGTTTACGCCGCGGAGCGGATCACGAAAAAGAGGGAAAAGCGGGTTAGTATCGCGTGCGGCCGCCTCCAGATGGCGCTACCAGGCGGAATCCATCCGCGCGCCGTTACCGCCCCCTCTATCTCTCCCTTCTCCTACCTCGCGCCTCTTTCTCTTTTTTTTCTTCTTCGTTCTCTCTTTCGCTGACAGCCGGCTTCGCGCGGCTGCCGCTTCTTCCACGACGCTAAATGCTTTTACGACTCGCGATATCGGACATTACGCGCCGACAGGTACAGGTCGTTACCTGGTTATTCAATGCCATTCACGTTGTGTACTTTTATCATATTGCCGAGAGCATGTTTGAAGATCGATTGTCACTGATCGATCCACCGATTTTGCCATCGTGAGATTATCGATTCGCTCCCGTTAACGAAACCGCGATTCCGCGCCCCGTTACGTTACGACACGTTGACAAGAGGAATAATAACGGCTTGTCTCTGTCTCGAAACGTTCTCCGTTATTTTAAACGTAAAAGCTGCGAGAAAGAGAGAGGGAGCAAAAAATAAATAGATCAATTTAATACGAGAAGCATCAATTCTGGTCAAAGTTAGATATTAGATTAACACATATATACGTATTTTAAATAAATTTATCTCAAAAATATGCGTTTCGATTACTTTCAGACTTTCAACATAATCAATTTGAAATACTCTACCAACCCTCCAAATTTAATTTGATATTGATTTGATGCTCCTAACAACTCTGATAAGCATTTTTCTTATTTTTATCGTACGTTTAATAATTAAAAACATAATTAGATATACATGTAATCTCTAATAATCGTCTTCATCAATGGCTCAGTATAATGATATAATTGATCTTTTGTCTTTAGTTCCTTACTGGATCTAAACCAATTATATTAAAGAATCTTACAGTTACAAAGTTGTTTTTTCTCTTGAACGTAGGTTGAACTTTAACCTCGATTCAACTTAAGACTTATAGCATACAAAAGAGATTAAATCGAGATTAAAATTAATCTATATTGGTGAAAATGAACACAAATCGATTACGTTTAATAAATAGTCGCTCGCATCCATTAAAGGCAATAGAAACAATCATGTAATCATGAACGATATAGGAAGGAACTTTCATTATTATAGTTTCACGCTTCATTGAAACAATATGATAATCTTGGTGAATACATGAATACGTTTGGTTGCATTTTATTATTATCCTCTTAAAACCAAATTGAGAGAGCTACTAGAGAACTACTAAAAGAAGGTATCCCAACCACGTATTCTGACACAGACTATACAATTTCTGGATAACGGGAGTCTCCGGAGGCGGACAACGGTGGGTTCGCTGACGGATAGGAGAAAGGCTCCGTATGGCATGGCGATCAGCTGGTAGCAGCCGATGGCGTATTTCTATGACATGAAATGTGCGCCGCAGAGCGCAATGCCGCGAACGCAAAAATTATCTATAAAATTCTTTGCAAAATTTGCATAAATCATTTTTTTTTCACGCCATTCGGAAATCGCGAAGAAGATAAACTGCTGGACATAAAGAATTAAGAACACACGAAATAATGTAAACAATATAATATAAACAATGTGAAATTGTCTTATGTCACACTACGCATTGGAGATTAAGAATTGCGAATTGAAGATTTCGAGGAGTTAAAATTTCTTTGTCCTCATTGGTCAAATTTCAATCTCCAATCTCAATCTTCAATGCGTAAGTCCAGATCTATAATATGATGTTTTAAACCCTAACGTAAGAAATTGACCAACTACAGTCGAATGCGAGGAAAATAATCGATTGTGATTCGTCCATTCTTTATGGCTTAAGGCTTAAAAATCTATTGTATATCCGGGGTAATCTAATTCTTTTCTTATGTCCGTGTCACTTTACGCATTGGAAATCAAGGATTGTGAATTGGAATTCAAGGATTAGAATTCAGTCAATCGGAACAAAACAAATTAAAATTAAAATTATCTATTGGTATAGTAGATAATTTCGATTGGTCGAATTCTAATCTTCAATGTGCAATCCTCAATCTTCCAATGCGTACACTGAGAAAAAAATATAGTTAATTTTAATAAATATTTAGTTCAATACTGCCAACTAAACATTTATTTAAGTAAATATTTGTTCAACAAAAAAATGATTGTTAAATCAAATAAATATATCTTTATATTTAATAAATATTTAGTTGACAGTATTCAACTAAATATTTATTAAAATTGACTATATTTTTTTTCAGTGTAGTTTTTTTCAGTGTGACATGGGCATTACTCCTTTATGATTTTGTGGATTCAATGTAGTGCTAGTCTTTCGCGTGACCATTCAAGCATTCGAATTGCTGCACAATCAAAGTCAGCAAGCTTTTATGTTTGCGGAATTTATTATTTTCATGAATTTCTCCAAATAATAAAGATTTTTAAAATTTTATTTATTGCAGTACTGGACTGCACTAGAAATTTCATTTTTGCTTTCTTCAAATTTTAATTATATACCTATTTTAAATGCAGTGTGTATTTATATACTAGTTCAGTTATAAAAAAATAATTTTTTTATTTATTAAAATGAAATTAAATTAAAACAAGGAAACGCTGAATATTCGTTTATTTTCGCGGAAAGTTAAACTCTAATTTAGCACCGAAACTGATAAACTACTTGGAGAAAAGATCCTACGATATTTTATTCGGGTCGCATTCGCGAGATTTTCTTTCCTCCGATGCAATTTAAATCGCCCTGCGTCGTCTGTTCGTATCGAGGATCGCCGTTTCACCGTTTGGTTTTGAAAACCAAACAAATCGAACTCGTGAAATGACGTGTAAAGCGTCATAAAGCGCATTTTCTCCCGCGAATTGATGACACGATTGTTACGTTATCGACACGTAACAATATCGGGTAACGGTGTCCTGCGAAGGGACGACAACCTGCTCCGTGTTATCATGTCGATCATGTCATCCGCCAGCTTCATTCGTAGGGTTTCATTCGTGCCGCGTTTCGCGACGTATCGCGCGTGTCATTGTTTTCCAACTGTCACGCCTGTGCATCGCGATGGGGCAGCGGCGTGCCGTTTCTGTTATTGGCCCACCGCCAATAGGTGAGCTGCCTATCGAACATCGACGTAGCCGGTCGTGCTATCGACCGTGCTTTACGCCACGAGATGGTTTCGGAAAATTCACGCGTTTTCCAACCGCTCAAGCGAGATCTCTCTCTCTCTCTCTCTCTCTCTCTCTCTCTCTCTCTCGCTCTCGCTCGCTTTTTTTCATATTTTTATTGGTTCTAGAAACGCGAGGATAGGATAGGGGACCAGGGGCTCGTTATCTCTGTGAAATTGGCATCTCATGTTTTAAAAAATGAAATTTTTGTTATAGTTCCGAATGCATCCCGAAGAGTTCTGGAGTTTCTATTCAAAATGAAAAATAGTTCTGGCAAATTAACATAAAAAAATCGAAAAGTATAAAAATTGTAGAATGCCAACTTCACAAAACGCAAAACAAAAAATCGCGATATCTTCTAAATTATCGGTCCTAGCTCCTAGCGCTTTGAATACTAATGACTTTTGATAGAACTCGTAGACTGCTATCCAGAACTATCGACAGAACTGCCAGAACCAACGGTTTAAGAGATGAGCAATATTTCGTATGTCGGATTGAAAAATTTCTAACATCTGAGAGAGGTGAAAATTTTGTAAAAGTTCCGGCAGTTCTGTCGACAGTTATAGGTAGCATCCCAAGAGTTTTAACGAAAGATAGGACCAACAATTTAAGAGATATGGCGATTTTTTGAAAGTCAGATTATTTAACTGCAGAAGGTTAAAAAATTTTTGAACGTTCCAGCAGTTCTGTCGACAGTTCTGAATAGCACCCCAAGAGTTGTATCAAAAGTTATTAGCATTCAAAGCGCTAAGATCACGGAGTAAAAAGAAGGAGATCAAACTCAAGCGGCCGGCCACAAAAAAGTTGAGCTCGATTTCTGGCTTCGGAAAAGCGCTATACAGAAGAACAAATTCGAGCGCTCCTGTTGGAGAAAACTGTCTACTTAGAGGATTTGATAAATATTTTTCCTCCCATTTTTCTGTGATTCTGTACGTTTGTGTATTTTCATGCGTAGAATATATTCTGAGAAGGAAAGTTGTCACTCAAGTTCCGTTTTGTTTTTTTCAATTTCAAAGTTTTTTGATGTCGATAAGTTAAAAAACGATAATTTAATAATAATTTATGACTATGCATGCATGTATGTATTTTTCAATAAATATTAATGCATTTTACTATTTAATCAAATAAAATTAAATTTTATACAAATTGGAATTTCTGCTTTTAAAAAAAAATTGCATACATGTGTATTCTATACGCGTTATCATGTGGTATGTACTTTCAATTTTTTCCGCAACGGCACTAAAAATCGCATCATCCTGTTTTTCTGCGATTTTGCATGTATTTTCCGAAGTCATGTTTCGAGCCCACGTTTCATCCTCGAGTTGGTCTTCTTCTTTTCATTCCGTGGTTAGAACTAAATCCTATTCTACAATGTGCTCTTTGTTTCCTGTTTCTTGCTTTTTAGCTCTTGCTTTTTTCTCTCTTTGCAACCGTTTTATCGACAATTGCATTTCTTACTACGTGTTTCCTGTTTCTTCCAAAGTTTGTTAACTTTCATATCGAGCGATATAAAACAAAAAACCGGATAAGAAGTAAAAAGACAAGATGTAAAAAATAGCAAAAAGCACAAAATAAAAAATAAAAAGCACATTGTAGAATAGGCTTAATAGTTTAAAAGACATCGTGAGTTTTTGTTCTGTGTTTCGGACGGGAACTTCTTAGAGCCGGTTGTTCCATCTTCAGATAAACTTATGTGATAATTTACCTATTAAAATTTAGATAAACAAAAGAGTAAGAAAGTAAGACAGTGAACTAAAGTTTATCGAAAGGTAGAACCCAGCCTTAAGGTGCCGCCTCTACATAATTCGCAACTCGCAAAACGTAGTTTTCAAACGCAAACGCAGAATGAAAATTTGCATTTGTTTTCTTCATTGTGTATAGCCGGTCAAAGAAAGATTGCAACATTTCTTTTTCGATGAGTTTCGGAATGCAGCCTACTCACCGAGCGATTGGTTCTTATTAAATCCATGAATAAGAAGAACCAATCGCTCGGTGAGTAGATTCCGAAACTCATCAAAAAAGAAATGTTGTAATCTTTCTTTGACTGGCTGTCTATGGTTGATCTCTATTTGTGTTTATCTTGCGTGCGATGATCGTCATTCTGCGTCAGCATTTGTGAACTACATTTTGATTTGCGAATTAAATAAAGACATCCTTAGGAATGCATTCGGAACTGTGAAAATTTCATTTTTTTAAACATAAGGTGTTAACTTCACTGAGGTGAACTTGTTGGCGCCAGAGACAAGATGATACTGCGTTCCGTTTATATATTTATGGCAAAAGAAATAATAAAAAAATTAATGGGTCTTTTATAATATAGATACTTTTTCTAAAGTTTTGTTTAAATCAAACACACACACACACACACACACACACACACACACACACACACAAGTATTACAATTAAAAGAGGAAAAGATCTTTTTCGGGCGATTCAGTATTTATATATAGAGTAATACTCTTCAGCTTGAGATATAGTCGATCTAAGTGGTGTTATTAGTTAAGGTTGTATAAAAATATTAGTCATAAGACCATAAAAAGCGATAAATTGATAATCTACGAGGCAAACGGTAAGTCATATGACTGTCTTTCGATTGATGATCATAAGGATAAGATGTTCATCGCAATCTTTCGACGGATCGAAAACTTGCGTCTATGATGCGTGGCTTTGAGGTTATGATGTTTCACTTGTGTTACTTCTGCGTAAAGGACGTGACAATGCTTGGCCTCGACGCAGTAGCCAATCAATTTATCGCTTTTTATGATCTTACGATTACGACTTTTACGTGCAATGGCGTTTAAAAGGAAAGTTTCTGTTACTATACGACATGTTGTTATTTTAAATAATGACAATAATTTGTTATAATAAAACGATTAAAATTAAATGTATGTAGAGATGGAATATACGTTAATTCATATTTAACGCAAGTTGGCGTAAACTTAGTTTGATGTGTTGTTGTTGCCGCTTGTAAAAATTGTTATTAATGTAAAATTTTAGTATTAAAGCATGAAAATGTTCACACTTCTTTCTAATTTTCAAACGAGAAAATTTTAAGATGGACTTTTCTGATTCGTGGAATTCAATGAAACACGTCGCTTCTCAGTTCAATTAAAATATATATCATCTAGAAAACAAAATTAAACTTAATCTAAAATTAATAAAGACAAAATTAACATTAAGGTTGAAATTTATTCTTTTTTTTATCCTTTTTCTAATAACATTTGTTACACATAAATTTCCGTGCAAATCAGAGCATGAGATTTCCAAGACATGAGATTCCTGTCTGAATATTCACATATATGTATACATTTATTATAATTGATTATTTGAGAAACAATTCAAATAATTATTATCAATTATCAATTATATTATTGTTACTCGTCAAACATTGATATATTAAACTATGTGAAATATCATCTCTAGTTGTTGCGAAACAGTACAATTTCTGTTGAAGTTTCTCGAATAACCGCAATAGTTACACGAATATTTAGATAGGAAACATCCTGCTGCCCTCGATATGCGAGCGAATTCATATGCTAAGCAATTATAACTACATTTACTCTATACTCTCTAAATTCTTTAGAGTGGAATCTCATTCTAAAGAGATTGAATCAGTCTCGAAAAAGAGTGGCTCAATTTTCAATCTTAAGAATAAGATTTTACTCTTCAGAGTAAGATTTATTCTAAATGTTTTAAAATACGTTTATTAAAAATTCAGTGATTTTTAAACTGAATTGACTCAATTTTTTTCACTGTTTCTTTCTTAACGATTGGTTCTTATGTAATAATTTCTTTTTTATATTTTTATCTCGTTAGATCCCAGAATAAATAAATGTGCATTCTATTCGTTTATCTCAACTTGGTAAGGATCGACAGGAGTGACAAGCTCATTTACACCTCATTTGTGCAGCTATATATCTGTATTCTATCAGACTTTCCCATATACTGTCTCATAAAAGCAACATTTTTCCATGAAACTCGTTTTAGCTTATATTTTATAAAGCTACGAAGCCTATTAAAAAATAAAATTTTGCAATTTTATTCTTGAAAACATTTTAATAAATAAAATGGTATGCTCCTTATTTACGGTGCATACATGTTTTTATGCTATATTTTATCTTCAAGAAGTAATATTATATCATAAAACCTTCTTGATTTCTTTTTTCGAAGCTGCGAAGGTGCGTACAGAGTCGGATTTTACAAATTAATTCTTGAAAATTTTTTAATAATAAAATTATGTGTACCTGGACTACACTATAGTACACATTGAGGTGAGATATCAGAACAGATTTTTATTTTACCTTTTTTTCGAACAAAATCATCCAGTATTTGAGCCATAATTTCATAAAGAAATTCGTCTTTAACTAGAGATCTTCTTAGTTTCTCCTGTCGACCCTTAACTCATTGATTAACGGCGAATCGAACTTCCACGCTCAATTTGATCTGTCTGGCAATTGACAAAACATGTGAAGGATCTTACGAGACAATTCACAACGCATCTCCCGCTATTAATTATCGCGCTTTGGCCTATAATTACGTGCGCTGATAAGCGAGTCGGCTCTTATCGATGGGCAGATCTTATCGACGTGTGATCTGTCCGACATGCGCACGATGCGCAACACGTGCACGCAATGGTATAATTCTGACGTTGATGCGTAACTGGTAGAGCCTAATTACGGATAATTGTGAAAGTGATTAATGCGTTAATTACGCGTCAATAGCGAATGCATGAGGAAAACAATGTTATAAAGATCGATGTTGAATCGTCACATCACAAAATAAAATGTTTACTATATCTTTGTAGAAAAAAAAGTAAACATTATCCAAACTTCTTTTTTATTTCTATAATAGAAGATACAAAAGTTTTTTATTTTTCCATACAGCTATTTATTACTTATTAATATTTTACACATATATCCACGTATCTCATTGCATTTTTAGAAATATAATTTCATTGCTATTCTTTTGGAATAGACAGATATCCACGTGGTAACGTCGCGATAATTGAGAATAATGAAATGACAACTCGCGCACGCTGCTTCACGTGTCGCTCAACGCGTTGACGCTCATATTTACCGTCAATGTAATTGTATTAAACGATTCAATAATTTCTCTTTATTCTCTTATATTTCGGTTTGAATTAAAATTCGAGAATTTTTTTATTTCAGCTTAATTTCTCGTTCATTAAAACACGTATTGTTGAAAACCATGATTGACAACTCTATAATTGATAATCCTTTTCTTTTTTTTAGGGCAAGATCGAGTATTTTGTCAAATGGAAAGGATGGAGCAAAAAGTGAGTACGAAATCGAAAGTCTGTAATTAAATGGATGACGTTCGTAACTGAGATGTAATTTTTCTTGTATTTTAGATATAACACGTGGGAACCGGAAGAAAATATTTTGGACATCAGATTAATCGAATTGTATGAGGAAAGCCAAAAAGGTGCAGATGTAATACCCACCAGAAGGCCAAGGCGAAGGGATACTAGATACAGCGTAAGAATATATTTTTTCGTAATAAAAACTTTTCTTTTTCAAATAAATGACTTTAACAATCGCGTTAAAATTGAGCAAAGTGCCATAATTAAATCAAACAATACAACAATATTTTATTTAAAATAAATAATATTTTCTTATACATCCGTAATCTGTAGTTCGTCATTTTACATAGATCACTCATTATATTAAATTGAGTATTAGTTATCTCTAACAAAAATTCCATTATCAGATATATATTGTGTGTATATATATATAATTAATATATATATCGTGTGTGTATATATATATATATATATATATATATATATATATATATATATAATTGATTTAACTAAATTGAATCGAAAAATCCTCTATTTAATCCCATTTTGCAATTTTCGCAATTTTGTGTGTATATATAATTTATATGTTGGTATCATATTTTTGGTACGAAGATACCTCAAGAGACTATTTATCACTTCCTCATTACACTGAATCACTTTAATAGCTTAGTATCTTGGCGAACTTTATGGTGTTCTCCGCTGAGTATAGCTGCTCATAAAATCTTTCTTCATTTTGTAAAATAGTCGTAACTTAACCTCGAGAGGATCATCAAGTTGGATTAGAAACATGTTTTTGCACATTAATTGTTTTGCAATTTAATCGACGATATCTTCATTTTCAGGAACAACTGTCTAATCTTGTTGTCGATGAGGAACCTGGCGGAGACGAAAGAATAGGCGAAGACAGTCAGGATGAATCGACGACGGGCAGCACTTCAGCATCTCGTTTAAATCCAGTAGCTCCTGATGAGGACACCCTCCCAAGTTCCTTAGATAGCCATGAGTCGCCAGAATTAGCATCAACGTTCAGCGTCGATTCTGACAGTTCAGTCAGTAGTATGGACATACCTCTATTGCCTAGAAAAGAACGTATGAAAAGGAAGGCGGAAGTTCTTAGTCGATCTGGCAAGATTGGCGTAACAATTACGAGTAGTCCTAGTAGTGGCAGTGGTAGTCCACCTCCGAGCAAAGTTCCTCGGTTATTGCCTTTGAAAAACAACCCCACAAATCCATCTTATGTAAGTTTCGATAATTATATATAATTATACAACTCATTATCATTACGTTTTTAATACTATTAAAATTAAATTATAATACTAAAATTGTGATATGGGATTAAAACAATGTTTTATATACAATACATGTAACAAATTAAAAATACATAAATAAAACTCAAACTAATTAATATTGCAGCAAAAACTTAAAAACTAATCTAATTGATATATAAAAATTTTTTTACCTTGTGTACATGAATTGCCATCCATTTAGATTATAAAATGATAAAAGTGTGGCTAATGGATACACAAAAGCATTCAAAAGGGAAACACATAATACCTAAAAATACCAATAATGGCATTTTGATGTTGTATCTTCCTGATTGATATAAAAGCAAGATTTACATTTTACATTATAGAGTCACAAAGCCAACGGACAAAATCAAAGAAGGCCATCATCCTCCAGCGTGAAATCGACACCGGAAGAACCTCTGCCAGCAGTGCCGACGACACCGGCGCCAGCAGTACAGGACAAAAAGCGTCCCGAAGCTGATGTACCTCATGGTCCGCCACCCTCTCTCCCGCGTGCACCACCGGCACCGCTGTCTCCTCAGATAGATACACCTTTGGAGCAAGTCACAACAAAGAAGAAGCAATTATCGGAGCAAAAGCTGGATAAATCGAATGGTGCAGTTGCTGCTGACAAAGCGAACGGTCACAAATCACCCAGTCCCACAGACTCTTACACTAATAACAACAGGTTACACACTGTCGTGAATGGACACCATAGCCCTAATAATAATACTAATAACAACAACAATAATAATAATAATAATAATAATAATAATAATAACAATAACAACAATAATAATAGTTCAAGCGTCAAACAAACCGAGATTTCAAGGTCAGAGATTTATGTTCCACTCACGAATCCCGGCACGGATTATTGGCACGCGAGAAACCCCGTGGCGGATCAAGTATTTATTACAGACGTTACTGTTAATTTGAAAACCGTTACCATCAGGGAATGCAAGACTGAAAAAGGTTTCTTTCGAGAAAGAGATCCCAAAGAAACTCTTTGAGCTTCAAGAATCTAACATTTTTGATGGTCCTGTAACGGGAATGTCCGTTCTGTATTGAATCACAATATGTAAATATAAATTATTTTCATTCGTTGGATGTTGTCAGGATATCAAGCAAATTAAATTTTGTCTTGTGATATATGAAGACATCATGTTAAATATCGCAATGAAAATCGCGAAAGTATCGCGTAAAGATCTTGGAGCACCAATTGGAATTCCAAGAATATCAAACAGATGCTGAAACAAAGATCAATCAGACTTCACTACATGAGGATTTTTTTTTAACTGAAAATTGATCGTTGTGTCCAGATAGATCATTGTGAACGATTTTATGTAAATTGATTGTAAAGACTAGACAATGCCGGTATGATATTCATTACCGAGTATACATCATACTGCTATCATGATATATTTTAAAATGCTTGGTAGATTTTAATTACACGCTGAAGATCTGGAAGGCAGAGGATAATATATCTTCTAGTTGATTTTATTATTTGCTTGTCTTAGAACGCTAAGAGAATGCTATAAAGTAAAAATCTTCAACTTTTGTTTTTACACTATGGGATATATATTATATACACGAGATACTTAGGAAAAAAAATATTTTTCTAATTCATTTTTAGAATACTGAAACTGCTTCATGGAAGCAATTTGGGGGGAGATGTTCCGAGTTATTTTGAAGGGAAAAAAATGGTTTTCAACACGTCACAATGTTGTATCTTATTCATCGGTGAATATTTTGCTACGTGCTGGAAAATAGAGTATCGCGAAAGAAAAATGTGTAAATTATATTTTGAATGTATGTAAGAAAGTGTATGATTCAAGAATTTCAGGCGATTACAAAATGTCATTCGATTCGGAGGAAACACAATTGCGCACAATATTTCAATCATTATCAGTGGTGATGCATTTTCTTGGTTCGACTTGAACTAATTCGCGATATCAATTTAACGATAGATGCATTTCGATGCTATCGAATGTTTTATTCGATTTTGTGTATATTCTCTCTTGGTATATAATTATTTTTATTTAGTGTAGAAAATCCAACATATATCGATCGTGACAGTTCCGCGAAATTATTGCATATCTCTTAGTGAATTCATTTTATTTGTAGATTCCGATTGTCAAATATCACCAAATAAGAGGATGTTCCTTTGATGATAAAGGCGCGTTGAAATTAGTACAACAATCCAAATCTAATTGTATTCAACATCTGATTATATTTACACGCTACGTATACTGTTACCTCGTTTTTAGTGATGCTGTATGATGTATTAGGCGCCTTTCAATCATATAGATTGCATTAATAAATCTTCTCATTATTACATTTATCATTATTCCGTTTACAATGCGCGCGTCATCAATTCTTTCCCACGGTAAACGCTCCTATCAGTAAAGTTTAAGACTCACTCAGATACATAAATAGAAATAAAGATAAAATCATATAATAGCTCAATAATAATAATAATAATAATAAACAAACATAAATAACAAGAAGGGCCAAATTACAAAAGAGAGAGCCAAATTTTTATATATTTCAAATGAATGAATGACAACCATGGAATCAAGCAATCATTCGCAAATTGTAAATTTTTTCAATTATTTATTTTTCTGAGAATTTATAGATTTTTTTCTCACAAATCAGAGAATAAAATTTTCATTTATAAACATAAATAAAATTTTAAATGAAATACGTAAAAATCTGGTTCGTAGCTCCTTCTTGTTATTTATGTTTGTTAAATGAAAATTTTATTCTCTGATTTGTGAGAAAAAATTTATAAACTCTCAGAAAAATAAATAATTGAAAAAATTTATAATTTGCGAATAGATTATGATGCCATGATTGTCGTTGTGTGTCTTTAACTGTCTCAACAGATTGAGACAGTTAAAAGTTTTTCTTCCTCTTAAATTGAAAAAAACAACATACTATTTTGGAATACAGTATCGTTTTCTCATTTTTTATATATTTTTATTTTCTTTAATTATTTTTTTTATCGAAGATTGATTTTTTTCTCCAATTATCAATGATGTTTCCTGACAATGATTATCTCTTTGACATTTGCTTCTATACGGAGCAAATATTGCGATGTTAAAGAAGCCACGTGAGAAAGAATAAAGAAATTCGAGCAATTACTGAATTTAATTCGAAAAATATGTGTGAAAAATGATGAAAAGAAATACGACAATACAATAAACTAATAATTTTTGTAATAATTTTTTCTTTAGGTCTTGCGCACAATAACAGGAATAAGGAATTAAGAATAAAGATTTTAAAAAAACAAAAACAAATAAGGGCTAATGAGAGTTTTTTGCGCGGTTGTTAGTGCGAAAATAAAAATCATTTATTGTCGAAAAACTATAGTATAATTACGCATAAACGTTTCGGCCTACTTCCGGGCCATCATCAGTATGTCCGAACGTATGTTGTAAAATTCTCACTTCTTCATAGCGAGATGGTAGAGTGGCAACTCAATTTCCTTATTCTATTGGCAATGATTGACAATTCCAGTGGCAACGAATAACAGATAAAAATTCATATAGCCATGAAGGATGTGATCAAAAATCAATCAAAGTCGAAAGACAAAGAATCCGCAAATTATTCATATTTAGTGATATAAATTCAGTACAACCGTTTCATTGTGACGGTCAACATTCAAATGGCAATTAAACGATTTTAATCTATCAGAAATCGGATACATCGGAGTACACGGTTTCTGATAGGTTGAAATGGTTTATTCTTCATTCCTTATTCCTTTTATTGTGCACAGGACTTTATGCTGATATAATAGAATATTCTTCAGAAGATGTTTTGTGTGTTTCAAGTACAAATACGTTAACAACATAGTTTCGTTCTATATTTAGGTGACCAAATACAAGTGAAAATTATGCTTGCATTCATTTATTTGCAAATGAATAAAATGTTTAATATATATGCTTCTTTCTGGTATATTTATAGGGACAGAAATTAAATTTGAAATTAGCGAAATTAGACCAATGTCTCAGTACTTGCTTTGGAATTTCTTGTCATATATAGACACATACAGCATCGCTAAAGCGCGATGTGGTTACTTGATGGAGCAGAAGACTACAACATGGTAGGGCCCCTGCTATGGATAGTGTTATGTAAAGAAAAAGAGTTTCTCGGGTTAAATATATATTAAACGCATAAATATATATTTAAATATACATTAAACGCGTAAGTATATATTTGAATATATATTAAACGCGTAAGTATATATTTAAATATATATTAAATGCGTTAATATATATTTAACATGCATGATACGTGTTAAATTTAAATATATATATATATACGTTATTTATTATAATTAATACGAGAACTTTTAGGTTTCTACGTCCTTAATATAGTTGTAATTAGAATGTATTATATATATGCGGTGTGTCTTATTTTGTGAGCGTGTTCGGCAAGACGTTATTTCCTGCATCTAGCACGATTTACTGCGTCATCGCATGTCCCAATGGTCGTTGGGACACAATGAGATTTTACAGAAATTTGTCTAAAAAGGAAATTCCGACTTCTCTTGGAAAACAGATCAAAGAGATCTATGTGCGTGTTTGTTCCTTTTGTTTTTAAACGGGGGCCATTCGCATAAGATTTAGATTGACATATTCGTTATAATTATCAATGCGGAAGATTGAAGTATACATTTCAATTGTTGTGTAACGTAAACCACTGTATATATTCATATGGAAAGCGTTTCCTGTAAAAGAAAATTGTACATACATAGTTTGAATGATACTTGTACGTTTCGCTGTGACGGGCGGAGCATGTGTGAGAAGGATGGCTTATATAAATCTTTGAATTATCAGTTGTACATAGATAAAGAGACGCGGAAACACCCTCCTCCCCCTACCCCTTTAGTTGTAAATGTAAAATTGCAACTAATAGAGCTATAGAGAAAAAAAAGAGAGAAATCCTTTTCTTAGCTTTAGAACTTCAAGATAGACTGTGCGCGTATCTTCGATATTGTTTCTGTACTTATAAATATATTCAGACTACTTATACTGATAAAGAAAAAAAAAAAGAAAAGGGAGATGAAAAAAAAGACATGAAACGATAACGCAGTGACTACGCAGGCATATACGATACGTGAACCCCGGTAGTACCAAATTCAACGGTAATTTTAGTTCTGTCTGGTACAGATTCCTTATATTTCAATAAAATCTCTACTTGAAGTCAGGCTGTTTTTAGATCCTAGATCTCTTCCTCGCGAATCTCAATGGCATTCGCATGCCACAATTATCATATATCTGCCTTGTATATAATAGTTACATATAACTCGATAATTAATAATTGTATATAACTTGTCTTTTTAATCCGTGAGCTTTAATGATTCTTGAGTGAGCTAACCTTGAGTGCGATTACGAAGAGTAAAATGTTAGTTTTCATTTATTTCTCTTATATAGCTTTTAGTAAATAAAAAAAGACTATAAGTACATAGAAGTAATTTAAATTTTTTTTTTATCAATCTTATATATATATGTATATATTTTTTTACATACAGGGATATTTTGTATAGACAAAAAAAAATTTTACGAAGGCAATCGGAAATCAGAAATTTTTCGTCGGCTGCATTGAATAAATTGATGTGAATCAAATTTTATATCACTTTATATACATATATACGGATATATATAATTTGTCCATTTGAGGGCGCTTCCCGCGACATAATGCAAATAGACAAGATGTATTCTTGCGCATATTCAATTATTACAGCCAATTAGAATAATTTTGGCCTTTATTCCGCCATTTTTTCGGTGAATTTTATTTCAATATGCCTGCTATGACAGTAAAAGTCAGTTTCATGTATAATAAATAATCAGTATTATTTGTAATGTGACAACTTTTGACAACCTTTGTAATATGACTTTTGCAATTTTTCACGTCGACATTACTACTTATTATTTATCATTTTTTGTTACTATTTATTTATTTCACCTTATTAATTTATATCAAAACTTGATCATCTGGACTCATATTCTTGGAAAAAAAACGTGTACGAAAATAAATGAAAAACTAGGGAAATATGTTCTATAATATACATATATGTAATACTATTCCTATAGGTGCAAAATATTCTTAGAATGTTATATAAATATTATTAAAAAAAGTTAAAATAAGTTATAATATTTTGAGAATATTTTTTAATATTATGAGAGTATTTTGTGGATGTTAAATGTTCACTTGTGTGTGTATATATTTCCTTTAACATCCCTGCAATATTAAAATATTTATTAATTATTTTTATATTAATGCAATTTGAATTTACAATCCAGTAACGCGAAAATGTCTTATTAGTCTATGCTGCATCTTGTCCAGTTCTACAACTGCACGCCAAAATTATTTTTAGTTTAAACAGTTTAGTTTAATTTAAATGTTATTATGATACTTTTTAATGTCCAATACTAGAGTAATTAACATTATTTTTAATAATCATGTAATATTGTCAAGAGTGAACATATAATCATTCATTAATATTTCAAGAATATTATATAATTTCAGTAAAATATTTTTCAAATGTTACGTTTAATATTCTGGAAATATGCCTAAAATATTATTTAATATATATAATATTATTTAATATATATAATATTAAAAAATATTATGTGCCTATAAAAATAATATTTCCCTAATTTTCTGTGTTTATAGTTGGAATTACGGACCATACTTCTCAACACTTCTTACACAAAGCAATTTGTATTTTATGGGCTAAACGTCGGTAAGTAATATATAATAATAATAATAATAATGAAAGACAGAAAAATTAATTTGAATTATATGCTTTACTGGATTGTATCAGGGGTAGTCAGGCAAAATACTCAAAAAATTTTATTTAAATACAAAATACTCTTAATAAAATAAAAATGTATTTAAATACGTATTTTAAATACATATTGTATTTCAAATACTGTCCATCATTATTAGAGGACACAACATTAAAGGTGCACTCCGTGTCATGCATGATGCATCATTTATCCTTGTTCACCAAATTTAAATAAGACTAAATGTAGACATGAGAATGACTCACCTTTCTCACACTCATTTTTTTAGAAATATCTCATTTTTTCTTTTTTACAAAAAATTCGCTTTTCTCACTTTTTTGTGTAGGTGTACATTACTATTCATAAATTCAGGAATGCTTGCAATTTGTCTTGTATTTTGCACAAAAACTTAAATATCTCGGTAAAAAAAAAAAAATTATAAAGAAATTTTTAAAAATGCAATGTAAAGACAAAAAATAGAGCAAAATAGCATTTTGCATCTGCAACATTTTTTTCCTAAATTATATAAAATTGAAAATTGATTTTAACATTTTTTGTTGAAGCGCTGTATCTAAATAAAACTTCATCGGATAAAATTTTATAAATAAGTATTTTAGACTTTTTAAATTTAAAAAAAAATTGATGTGATTTTTTGCATAGATATTATATTTTTTATTCTTTAAAATTTTTTTGATAAAAATTACTTTTTTTAAAATGTTTTTAACTTTGACACTAAAAGTTTATGGAAAAAAATAAAAAGTGGAAAATGTTTATTATAATATGATTGATTCATATAATTTTTTCAAATTTTTATAAAAACTATTTCAAACGTTAATTTTATAAAAATTGTTAACGATCGAGAAAAAATTTTTAAAGTTCTATCTTTTATATGTATTTTTAGAATCTCCTTTACCATTTTTTTTTTCACCAAGATATTTAAGTTTCTATAAATTGTAAGAAAATTGCAAATATTTCTGAATTTATGAACAATAGTGATATCAACATTAAAGTTAAAGAAGAAAATAAAAAAGGACGTAGCAGATATGTACATGAAAAGAATCCTTAGCAATCCTGTAGCAATTTAGACTTACTACGTACGTCGATTGTTAGACGTCTATGAAAGAAAAGTTGTCACCCCTTATCCTTACTATTGCGATAATAGTTATCAAAAACATTTTTCATCGTAATTTTTTTCTTTTTTTCTAATCCATGAAAAATTATTAAAAAATTAATGATGTTTCAAGAAACATTTTTTTTTAAATTCACTAAGTGTATAATTGTCAATGTTTAAATGAAAATCAAGTAACTAACTTCATGTTTTTTTTTTACAATATCTTTCCAACATTATTCACCTCAAATTATTGAAAGGGACCCATTAGCGCACATTTTTTTCATATGTATATATCGATCGATATTTAGAAATGAAACTTCACTGTTTTATTAATGAGAATATTTTATTTCAAATTGGCCAATCAGCGGCTAGTTGACATGATAATGATGGATGTAAATTCTGTACATAAAGTATGCAGCATGAAATGCAAAGCATGAAATAATATAAATATTCACAAAACATTGAAGGATGAGTTTACTAACCTCATTCCACAGCAGTCGACAGAAGTCGATGTTAAGTATGGTTGCGTTCCGTCTTACGTATGATGAATCATTTATTCTTGTTTAATATTCAATGAATAACAAGGATAAATAATGCAGCATGTGCATCATGCGTGAGACGGAACGTAGCCTATATAGTAAATTCAATGGCAGCTACTACGAATTATTCCAGCCAATCAGAGAAATATATCGATCATGTGACACTTTGGCTGCATTCACTTTGCCGCTCATAACGCTTGTGAGCATTAATTGTCTTTATTTAATATTTACTAAACAAAAGATGAAACGACGCTTGAAGTTGTAAACACCAAAGCGAACAAAGTCTTCATGAATCTCTGTTACACTATAGGATTTCTAGCTGGATTGCTAGCTGTATTATAGCGTTTTTCTCTTGGCTGCACTATCGCACACTAATCACTCAGATAGTGTATCGTATTGTACAATATTTCCATGGCTGATGATATGTGGGGAACTACGTTCTCAATACCTCACTAGCGCAGCGAATGTAGAAAGCGAGTGTAGGGATTTTGTAGGTTACGAGTTGCCTACAAGCAGCATCAGAGAACAAATAAGAACAGATAGATTATGGCGCTCATTCTGTATTCATTTGAGTTCGAGTAATAAAGATTCATCGTTAGCAGTTACAAGTAAAGTGTCGATCATTACCTCTTATATCATATCACACGACAAGCGTAGGCTTGTCTTGAGAATTTGACTCATCAATCGAGTCACTTATTCCCACAGATAAGTGTCGTAAGCGAACTCATTCGGTGTACTGCTGATAATTGGTGATCATCGTAAAATTGAATTAGGTTATGTCAGTTGGCGAGACCTCAAAATTTAGGAATGCGAAAGAAATATGAGTGAACGTGCCTGTGGTATTGTTACAAATAGCCATTACACTGATATTGTTTTAAAATCCTACAGGTACTGTACAGTTATTAGCACGATTTTTTAAAGAAATAACAAATGTTTACCGCTCTGTTACATTTTTATTTTTATAGCAATCGAACGTTACTGATCGTAACGCACTTCAAAAAGTTTGGGACATTGCTGATAATAAATCGCGAATCCGCTGTGAATGGTTACAGTAGCGATGTGTTCACAATAAAGTAAGTCGTCAAGTATTTGTAAGTTATGTAGTAGTTAATAATCATAGTAAGAATGATAATTATCATAATGTATAATGTAATAATACATATTCTATAATAAATTAGTAATAAATCAGAAGCTAGAAATTGACCAATCATAGTCAATTATTCTTCTTGCATTTGACTATTGCCAATTTTTAACTTCTGATTTCTAATTTATGACTAACAGCTTATTGTATAAGAGGCCCATTACGAATACGATGCTTATCTGACAATACGATAGTCAATAATGGTCAATAATGAGAATGAGGTTAGGTGAAATCCGCGAGCATCGCGAGATAGATTGATAGGCCAAACCACCAAACAATATTAAAAACATTATTTAAAACAATATTAAAACTATGATTGCAGCATTACGATAAATGCAGATGCCTTAATGTATTATTTATTTAATAAAAATTTAATAAAAATTTAATAAAAATTTACAGGACAGTCTTTGGTAATGAGAACAATGACATTGATTTAGCTGCTAGATATATAGCACAACAAATTAACATTGAGAAACCATTATTACTGTCAATAGCACTAAAAGATTATAACTTGAATACTTTGAAGTCCATTGTCGCTGCTATAAATCAGATAAAACCATGGTAATGTTACATTAATTAAAGTATCATGAGCTTAATCTTTGGTCAACTTGTCATTGGCCCACCTGGTAGTGGGAAAACAACATATTGCAATGCAATGTCCAAATTTTTGAAATCCATTGGAAGAAAAGTAGCTGTCATTAATATCGGTAATTCAGTATTTATTCTATAACTCTTAATGACAGTATTGATATCAGTTGCGCAGGTATAGTGTGATAAAAGCAGTACTACGATATTATAATTGATACGGCATTAAGAATTAGGATAGAAGTACGGTTATGCTTTTTTTCCTGAAATCTAAACAAACAATTGCCACATTTTAGATCCGGCAAATGAAAATATGGAGTATACTCCAGCGGCAGATATATCTGAATTAATTAAACATGAAGAGGTCATGTCACATTTTAGACTTGGACCAAATGGAGCTTTAGTTTACTGTATGGAATTCTTAGAAACCAATATTAAATGGCTTATCACTAAAGTTTTGAATTTAAAGGATCACTATCTTATTTTTGATTGTCCTGGTCAAGTGAGTCGTTTTTCTTAAATCTTTTTTTTACCTTACATCTATATAATGCTAAATAATGCATTAGGTTGAATTATATACGCATCATAAATCAGTGAGCCAGATAGCAGAGAAATTGAACCAGAATTTAGTAAGATTATGCAGTGTGCATCTTGTGGATTCGCATCATTGTAGCGATCCTGGTAGATATTAATGCATTTATTCGAATTACATAAACAATTATAAACTGTTAAAAATTGCTAATCATTGTTATAATTTATAGGAAAATACCTATCCTCTCTAATTCTTTGCACAACAGTGATGTTACAAATAGGCTTGCCTCATGTAAATATAATGACAAAGTTTGATGAAATGAAAAAGTTCAGCGATCGGCTAGCATTCAATATAGATTTTTACACTGAAGTACTGGATTTAAATTATCTCTTGGAGCAACTGGATGAAAATCCCTTCACTGCAAAGTAAGTTAAATATAGCTAAATAAAATTATGTCATTAAAATTAAAATTCAGAGAAAACTTTCATATTTGTAATATTTTATAGGTACAAAAAACTTAATACTGCGCTAGTATCAATAATCGAAGACTATAGTCTCGTCAGTTTTATACCATTGGACGTTACAAACAAAGCATTGTTGCTACAAGTAAAGAACGCGGTAGATAAAGCTAATGGATATGTATTCGGTGGCAATGAGCCACGAGATGTTCAAACGTTACTTGCATGTGCAATAGGAGCAGTCAATGAAACTGAAAGGATGTCAACATTGGATGAATATTTATCACTTTAGAGTGATTCTAACATACATCTCTATTACATTCGTTTTTATGTAAGAATATCTTGACATCATTTTTATTATATTTATAAATAATAAATGCTGTGTAATTGATAAAAGTGTTCTTGTTATGCAGAGGTGCTCTTGTTGCATTTTTCAATCCAATTGATTAACAAAAATTTGTGCTAGATCATCGTAGTCATAAACCCTTTTTAAAAACGTGTCCGTAAGTTTTAAACCAGAAATAGTCTGTAAAAGAGCAATATTTAGTAAAATACATTAAAATGCATCCTCATAATTCTTGTAAATAAATTACTCACGATAATGCCTGTATCCAGAGTAATGAAGCAAAGAGGTATATCCATGGAAACTCCAGGTTTCAAAGTGCCAATTATTGTGTCGGACATTCCACACCAAGCTATGGAATTATTTGACTCTAAACTCAATAATAATTCCATACTTCTTTCTCTGTACAAAGAAATGAAAGAATTATTATTATATTCATGATAATTCTGTGTATTTTTGCACTATAGTCACACTTACGATGTATTTATTATATGACATGTACAATTAACTGGTTCTTCAAGATAAGCCTTTAAAGGAATATCCTTTATGAGAACTCTTAGATCTCCATACTCGGGTGCCTGAAACAAATGAATTATGTTGGTGCGTTATTTTATACATAACTTTTATACGTACTCATTGAAGAATAATACAACATACCATTCTTTGCAATTGACTCGTTTGCAATCTTCCTCTTTCTCCCAAATTACTTCTCCACACAATATCCAATTTGCCAATATTTGTTGCATTTTGCATCATTTTCGGATCTTTTAACAAGCTTAACTGTGGCTTTAAACAATATAGATATTGTCTACTACAGCCTGCATCTAATAAATTTACACTTCCGTAGATAGAGTCTCCTTCGTCGTTTGTATTTAATGTAGTCACTAAAACATGACGCGTTTCGAGTTTAAGGCTTTTAAGCCGATATTTATAATCACCTTATTTCAAAACTACTTAAAGATGCTAATATGGCTTTTTGATTGGCTTATTACATCTTAAATATAAGAATTATGAATACACACTTTAGCAATCAACATTACAGTCAATGAGAACTTACCGCTAAATAAATGGGACGATTCAAGAGCAACTTTTTCCAAGCAAATTGGCCCAGCTGTTAGATTCTGTATTTGTGCTTCGAGATATACTTCATCTGACTTCAATAAATGTTATCATGAAACCGCGAAAGTAAAACACACACACACACATGCACACAAAAGAATATTAATATATCATAGTATTAGTATAACTTATGTGAATAAGTATTACCTCTGCATTATAAAATTTAGTCTTCACGTCAAGCGGTTTAACTACCTGGAACTTGAAATATTTTCTAAATGACAGTGAAGGTCCGATCTGATTTGTATAAGATACTTCACAAACTAATCTAGAAATACAAGAAAGATATATTTTCCATTTAAAGAAAAAATGAATTTTTTAATACAGAAACTTATAAATATCCTTACATATGTGTACCTATTTCCTTAACTTCATGATGAATAACTTCATCCACTGTACTGTCAGGTGCTAATTCTTTTCCTTCTAGGTTATTGCTAGAAAGTGGAATAACTTGTGTACTTGTTTGTAAATCTGCCTATAAAATATAGAAACGTACAATGTTAGAAAATATAGAAATGCATTTAATGTCAAATAAGATAACTTGAGATAAAATCTTAATGTAATCTTAGTATAATTTGAACTTACTTTTACAGTAACATTTTTTACCACTTGATTACTGCCATTGTGAACACATAAATAACTAGAGAATATCTCTCCTAAATATATATTTCTGAAATAATAAATATCAATTTCAATATTTGTTGAAATATATACTTTTCTTGTTATTAAATGCAAAGAAAAATTCTCAGGCAAGAGACATACCCAAAACTTTGAGGCAATACCATAAATTGTCCTATTGCGAGTGCCTCCATGCCTTGCAATGTCGTACAATCATTCTTAAGTTCATTATTCAATGTATTACCTGGCAAGTCTGTAGAATCACATGTGACAACCATGGGACTAGCCAAGGTAGGTCGTGTCAATCTCATTACTATAAAAAACAATTTGTTCATAATTTCATTAATAGATATAATTCTCTTCTACATCATTTCTCCAATTAAAAAATTGTTGTACATGTATCAATAATACTCTCTATCTCCAGATAGAACATAGAAGTTAATATTTAAAAAAATGTCATTATAACTTTGTCACTAAAAATGACAAATAAAATCAATGACGTCCTTCTGACATTATATAATTTCTATGTTCTATCTGAGTGGTCTAAAATATTGAAAAGCAATATAATTCTTACTGCTTCGCGATAATAAGTTACCTTTCAAAGTTAACAAATGTTCACTTTTCGCTTTGACTTCCATTTTTTCTGTTTAAATCACGAAAAAAATATTAAACAAATATGATTAAATTATTTATATATCACCATGTCAAATCAACGTCACTTCAGAAACCTAACTTCGTTATTTTATGTCAGATTTGTAACTGCATCACAATGGTACTTTCTACACTTTCAGGTGCTTTCTACACTTAAAATAAAACAGTCACATATTATTGGGTAGTAGAGAAAAAAAGAAAGAAAAAGTAAAAAGTATACAAGATTCCGTTAAAAAAAAATAAACTAATCAATAAATCAAAAACTAATTTTTTAATCGATCAGTCGACATGATTACGAGTTATTTTGATACATAATTTAAAATATAGTTTTAAAGGATTTAATTTTTTATTTTTAGAAATTATTAGAATTAATAATGCGATATTATTATTATTTGTTATTTGCAATATTACTTTTTAAGTAAATTGATTCGACATTTTTGGCATTTTTGCACATAATATGATACCGTCAAAATAATTTTCAACATATATTGCAAATACTTTACAGAGACACTTTAATAAAAGAAAAATGAAAAGAAAGAGAATGTAATATATATAATTTATCTTTTAAAAAGATTGATACAGTTTCCATCATTTCCAACGATTACATTATCCTAAGTCGATATATTTATTGAAGAAGTTGAAAGAACGCACTATAAATCAATGAATGCGCTATAGCTATCAGTTGAAATAGAAATGTCGAGGAATTTATTTCACAAGTATGACCTTAATGGGCCATGTTGTGATTTATAGTTATAATTACATATTTATTATCGTATTGTAATATATACTTTCTGTCCTCTGAATGAAGGTATGCTTGCTTGATGCATTTGCCGAAAAGATAACCTCTTTTGATGGTCCTTCGAATTTTGGGGAATCGTGCCAGCGGCCGGTGGATTTGCTAATTGAACGCTATATAATTATCATTTTATGCTTGTTCGTTACGTAACTATCCCTTCGCGCGATACTGTTATTTCAAGCCGCTCGAACTAGTGATTCACCTCTATATTTTGCTTATATTATATATGTGGCATTTAGTCTCATATACATCTTTTTCTATACATTTTTCAGTGTATTATAAACGAACGACTATGTTTGACCAAAGAATCATAGCAATCTGTTTTCTTGTGTGCTTTGTAATAGTATTTAACTTCTCTCTTCATCGTATTGAAGAGGGTCATGTAGGGGTGTACTTTCGAGTAAGTTGTTTTGAATAAGTTGTTTTTCTATTATCTCCATAATAGTCTCATTCCTTTTAACTCTATAAATATTTGTCAGGGTGGCGCACTATTACCTCAAGTGAGTAATCCAGGATTTCACATGATGATACCATTTTTGACCACATATCGTTCAGTTCAAGTAACTCTACAAACAGATGAAGTGAAGAATGTGCCATGTGGAACTAGCGGTGGTGTTATAATCTACTTTGATCGTATAGAAGTTGTAAATATATTGGATGCAAACAGTGGTAAGTTGTAGAGTAGTCACTCTTTTAATTTTTAAGAGCATTGATATATTATATATTTTTATTATTAATATATTAATACATATATTCTTGTTTAGTTTACAACATGGTGAGAAATTTCACAGCTGATTACGATCGCACTTTAATTTTTAACAAAGTGCATCATGAATTAAATCAATTTTGTTCTGTACATACACTACATGAAGTATACATAGATCTGTTTGATCAAATTGATGAGAATCTAAAGACTGCGCTTCAAAGAGATTTGAATGAATTAGCACCTGGTCTTAACATACAAGCTGTAAGAGTAACAAAGCCGAAAATTCCTGAAACAATCAGGAAGAACTATGAATTAATGTAAGTACTCTGTTAATTAATTGAGTTCCTTTAGGTTTCAATTTTTTTTTGTTTTTATAGTTTATATATTATATATTAACTTGCTTTGAATTGTTTAGGGAAGCAGAGAAAACGAAACTGTTGATATCTACACAACATCAGAAAGTAGTGGAAAAAGATGCTGAGACTGATCGCAAGAAGGCCATTATTGAAGCTGAAAAAGAAGCGCAAGTTGCAAAGATTCAATATAATCAAAAGATTATGGAGAAAGAATCCCTGCAGCAAATGGCTGCGATAGAAGACGAGATGCATTTAGCAAGACAAAAAAGTCGTTCTGATGCAGAATTTTATCAGATGAAAATGCAAGCTGAGGCGAATAAATTACTTTTGTCTCAAGAATTCTTGGAACTCAAAAAATATGAGTCATTGGCACACAATACGAAAATATATTACGGGCAAGACATTCCAAGAATGTTTGCATATGGAAGTTGTTTGAATGATGTCAATTTAAAATCTAATAGCAATATTGAAGAGAAAAAGTTATGAGCAATGAATAATGCTACAATTTCATAATATCATTATTATTATTATTACATAAGATGAAATATGAATAATCTTATCTTTTTGGACAAAATACTTTTATGATAAAAAATTGAAAAACTTTGAAAAATTTACAAGTTCCAGTTGTGCGCAGGCACATTTTTTTACATAAAACATTACAAACATAGATTATACATACACTTTTAGAATTTCGGAGTGTTACTTATTCCTCCAAATTAATTGTGTGAGATTGAAATTTTGTATGAATGTATTAAATCCATGTAGATAAGAAGATGCATTATGAATACACAAATACATAATATTTTTTTTATTATACATAAAAAACAGTTTCTTTAATACAAGACGATAAAGTATTATGTGATGACTACA